GAAAAACAGGCATGTTTTCGGTTTACGTTGTGCTGTGGGCGCTTCCCACGACCCATTTGGCCCATTTTCAATACCAAGCTGCGTGCAAGAAGTTGTCACCGTTGGAGTTGACAGCTTCACTTTTGCGCCCGAAAGAATGTGTACAACAGCCGGTAACTGATCAAGAATATATATGCTCCATGGGGTCTCTAATGCGTCTTTTCGGACGTTGCAAACGTGTTAATAAAACGAATATACCTCCTACAATTTTTCGGTGATGGGTACAAGAATAATTGATATGATGCAGTAGTTAATGAATGGCAAAGCAAAGCATTCGACCAAGTAAAAAGGAGAATCTTTAAATCGAGCAGGATGACATGGACCATCTGCGATAAACTACTTGCGTTTTTAGACCAAAGCAATTTTTGCAAAATAATATTATTCTCTTTTAATTTACATTTTTTGAAGCGGAATGGAAGCTAAAAGCTTGAGGGGGGCTTTCTTTACAATTTAAAGCTTCGTTCTTTCACCTAAAAGAATGCACAAGAGCGGCTCTATTAATTAAAATTTCCGTTTTATAGCTTTTAACAATTAAAAGGGAAAAAACTCACTCTCCTCTTTTGTTCTCGTTTTACTGTAATATGCATTTAAATCTTTTAATTATAATCCGCATGATAAAATTCCTTGGGAAAAAGTTAACACTGCATTTAAGTGTTAATTGTGCCACTACGGATGTCGGATGTCGCCATCGCAGCTATTTCCTTATATCACATTATTCTATATCACATTTCATTTCACTTTACTGTTTTATAGAAATAGTGGCTTTTATAATGGGAAGCAAGCAACTAGCCCTCAAACCAACGCTGGTAAAACCTGCTTTACTTTATTTTTAGTTTTATTGAAAACAAAATGCGTTAAGTTTCCTACGATACAAGGCGTTGCGCTAAGCGTGAATCTGCACTTTTACACCCACCCTTGTTAGCTTTTCTTTAAACCTTTAAACATAACATAAAACATGAATTGTTAATGGGGGGAATCGAGTGAAGATTTAATGAGAAAAACCCCGTACAGAGAATATTATGCTAAGCAGAATTAGAAAAAAAAAAAAAAAAACAAAATCATTTTCGGTCTCGACCGAATCTTTTATAACCACCGTCATTATGCGAAAAAGCAACAAAATGAAAGGAAAACCCTAAATTTTCTTACTCTATAATATTGTGTGGGCGTGGCAGACAGACATAGACTTATACAGATAGACGAACATGCTTAAATCGGTTTAGAATGTTGTCTTAACCAAGTATACATATGCACTCTGAAGCTTTTGTCTGGACGTTGCACAAGTTTTGATAGGTTCATAAGATTGATTTATACGCATTGATTTTGCCTCAAAGAGAGCTTTACTTGAAATTTATATACTAGATATTTTATATGCAACTTTATATGACTTATATAACCGATTCCATTGTTAATGGCATTGTTCCTAAAAAATCTGAATGTGGTTTAATTTTAAACGAGAAATGGGGATAAGAAGCTGACATTCGGCTCAGACCTTCCCTGATCGCTGTTCTATTATTAAACATCAAAAATAAATTTATATAACATAAAAGGAATTTTAAAATATAATGCAGATTTTGTAATTAGGTAAATATATATATGAATAAATATATGAAGAAGCGTAGCATTTCCAATAGATTTCGATATTTTCCTCTATCAATCTTATATTATGGGACGCTCGCAATCTCAACAATCGGGGTAAGGTAGAAGTCCTAAACACGTCACGTCAATTCTTAACGGGTAGTCGTAGATCAAGTCAAACACTTAATATAATACGCATAGGACAATTCTTTCAATTTGTTATTCACCGCATACGAAAAACATTGAGCCAAATTTTGGTATATTTCTTAAAGTTTTTGTCCCATTGAAAGTTAATCTTAAAGTTCTATATCCGATAAGGATATCTCTTAAAACAAAATTGATACAAATGAAAGCTTTTTATACTCATCACCTAGGTGCGAGGGGTATATCGATTTTGTGAAAACGTTTGCAACGCCCAGAAAGAAGCGTCAGAGACCCCACAAATGTATATTCCCGATCGGCATTATATTATGAGTTGATTTACACATGTCCGTCTGGTCGTTTGTGTAACGTATGTTGTACGGCCGCTGGCCGCACAAACAAAGCTATCGACTTTAAATTTCATATAGAAACGTTGCAAGTTCTTGCCTGCAAGTTGGTTTTAAAGATACGCCAAGTTGGTCAAAGGACAAGCCTACATTATGCAGCAGCTAAATTCACAAAAATTTTAACGTGTATCCTATGGGCGATGCTGTTGTGTCTGTAATAAAATGAGAAAAATTGGCCGCGCCTGTACCCAACATTTTAAAAAATTTATTTGTCTTTCAATACCATTATAACGGAAGAAGCAAGCTTCAGAGAGCACATAAAGTATTTATATTTGGAATGCCCCTGACCATGTTCGTATGTTCGCTTATCCACCTGCTCGTCTATTAGTCCGTGCGTCCGTCCGTCCGTCTGTCCAACTGTGTAGTATCTGTAGTACGCATGCTCCCGGTCGCAAAGACGAAAATATTGGCTACAGATTTTCAAAAGAGTTTCAAACAACCCCAAAACACAGGTCCGCGACGTAAATTTCCACAAAATTATTCTACAAATACGCAAAAATTACCCACGCCCACCGAATTTTATAGAGTATGCAAATTTATATTTTTCCTATTTTTTAATCTTTCATAAGATAACGGTGATGGATATAAAATATTCGCAAGCGAATAAAATTTTCTTGCTTGTTTCACTTACTTGTTGTTGTAGTGTAAAATAATTTTCGCCATAAAACGACCGCACTATTTATGTAAAGCCTAAAAAACCTCTTTGTGGATTTTTGCTAAGCATTCGACCTTTTTTTAAATATTGATTACAGTGTTTTCCCTTCCCGTGGTTTTTGTTTTATGAAAAATACAAAAATGTAATATTAAGTATGAAAGGCATCAACTCTTGTTATCCCATTGTTCAAACTACTTTTGAGCACAAGTACAGGCGAGAGTATGTATAAGCTTTTAATAACTTAAACTGAAATGGAAAGAATGGCGCACACAACACAAAATCATTGATCGGATATTGAGTAATTTCCTTTTTACATTTATCTTAGGTTAAGCCAGCGATTTAGTAACTGAACGGTCGCGCAACAATTTATTTTCGAATTATTTTGATTTATGATAATAACTTTAAACATGTGAATATCATAAATCAGCAGAAAAGAACGAAAGCATTTTGCCGGAAAAAGAAAAAGTTATATACAGCTTTCTCACCCTTAAGCTATAAATATCGCTTTTTAAACGTTATTAAAGGAAGACTGATAAACGTTTAAAAAACACTGAACCAAATGATAACCAGCAAGTGAATTAAATGTAAATAATAAAAAGCAAGTTAGTTGAGAGGATTCATCCGGAAAATATGATAACATCAGCATCAAATTTTTGTGCAGGCACATCCGAACCTGCATTACGAAGTTGCAAGGCAACTTATTTCGATTAAAAGTTCCCTAACATCATCCAAAAACTTTTCAAAGATCGATATCTAAAGAATCGTGTTGACAAAGCGTTTATCTAGCTATAGTCCGAGTGCTTCTCTCATTTTCGGTCCTGACCATAGAGTTAGACAGACAATTCAGGCACCTTATATGCGCATTAACATTTACGTTGCACTAACGCAAAACAAAACAAGTGAAAACAAGATAGTAGGTCAGGGTCCCCAATAAATAGTCTCACAACGCTATAGTTACTCATACAATGACTTTTAGCGAAAAGGTGTTGTGTATGGAAAGTGGTCGAAAATCTGATACGGACCTTTTCAATAGCGTTCGTCTTTGGGTCAAAAAATGTCGGTGTACCGAATTTCATAAAACTATGTGAAAAATTACGGCCTTTAAGTAGAGCACAAGGAAGCAGGACGGGCGGAGAAGCTTCTAAAAATCGGTTTTGAATCGATCGGTATGATGAAGAATGGGTCTATTTCAGCACCTTCTTCGCGTTGCACACATCCGTACAAATTTAATACACCCTTGTACCACAAGCGGTGCAGGTTTTAAAAACCATGAACCTGATTTCAAAAATCTCAATCCTATCAGATGGTCGTAATGGTAGCATTTAGTTTCGTATTTAGAAATCCTAGTCTTATAATAAAACAAAACTTCTTATACTAATCTGAACATAAAAGATTTAAGACGACTACTAGGCTATGCCGTTCAATAGCCTTAGATTATAAATGGAGAAAAGAAAAGAAGATAAAAAGGAAACAGAGCGCATACGATATGTGTATTAACACTAGAAAAGTCACGTGGGTCAATTTGACTTTAGAACGCCCTTATAAGACACTCCTTGAGCGATTAAGAGCACAAGGTCAGCAGCTCTGGTGTTAAAAAGTAAGTTAGGTGACGAGCGGTGTAAGGGAAATAGAAAACACGAAAACAAGTATTCGAAACCCGCTCGAATAAATTTAAGCTAACAACACTAAGTACTAAGCCAAATAGAACAATGATTGCATAATTTCTCGTTTGTAAAATCAATGCATTCCGAGTGTGGACACTTTTTCTTTAAGATATATATAAAGTATTCGAAGATTTGAGAAACCATAATTCTGAAATCTGAAATCTGCAATACTTCCAACGAATATGACTGCTTTGGCAAAGAAATAGAGCACTAATCAATTTTTTATTAGAACGAATTTCTTGTGCAGTTAGAGTAAAGGCTCCCTTGATGACCTGCGATGATGGTGGATATGTACAGTTTGATATAACTGTGATTTCCAGCCCTCAGGTTGGCAGCAGTACTTCCCGGCACAAATAGCGTAATACCTCGGCCCAGTTCCAAGCTGCTTTACAAACCGTCTTTAGCTGTCAAAATATTTACACAAGTCCTTGAGTTCCAATCATTTTCGAAGGCTAGTCCTGTTTGTAATTAAAGTCACCCGTTTTTAGTGCATTTCTCATCAAAAAATTATTTATTATTTTATTGTCATACAACGAAAACACTTTGCATATTTTTTTTAATTTGCTTATACTTTTACCAGTATTGTGTCAGTGGCTATTTTCTGTAAACGGGGACAAATCTTACGCAATTGTTGATTACTGCTGCGGCAATGCAAGCCGTAAAAACGCAATTTTTGAAGAGCTGGAAAACGTGCGTCAATATCTATAAATGTTGGAGAAGAAAGTTTTTCGATTCGTGGACAAGAATATAAGTGAAGTTTGGTTAATTCATTAAATGTATGCGTTAAATTTAAGACTTGGAGAACCTTGATGGGACAAAAACAAGACCTAAGCGTTTGAAGACTTCTTAAATTGCTAATATTATATTCTGAGCAGAGGTATTTAATATCGTTCTGGCTGACGCATGGTCGCAGGAAAAGTTGCCGCAAACGTGTGAGATATCGAAATATGTTTATCATTTCTTCGTCTGCTATTGTTGACTGAAGTTCTCTAAAATCAAGTACGACCAAGTTGGGTAGACGTTGAGTCAGATGGCAAAAACTTTCCCTAGTTAGTTGCGCATGGGACAATTTTAATTCAGTTAACTTTGCATTGCTTTTTGGGGCTATACTATAAAGCAGACGTTCATCTGCTAAACCATTAGTGTCATACATTGTCAAACTGCGCAATTTACCGCTCATGAGGTTCAGTTGTTTGGCATCGTTTTCTGTTTCCCTATAACGCTTTATCTCCAAATATTCTAAGCTGCCAGACCATTTTCGTACAATTACTTCTAACGCATCGGCACTATTGTCGCTTAAAACTATTCTCTTGAGACGATTTGTTTCACAAATATTTTCTAAAACAAGCCTTTTGTACCTCGTGGAAATAGTCCCTATATCCAATACCTCCAGTTGTGTAAACGTTCTAAAGATTTCTCGCAATCGATGTTGAAATTTCAGACGTGCACTTGCCCAAGCATCTAACCATACGGTGCCGAGCTTGAGCCAACGCAACGAGGTTGCATGCTTTGCTAGCACGTCCAACCAATCACCAGCGGAGCTCTCAATTCTTATGCTCAATTGTTGTAAGCGAACGTTCGGCATTTGAGTCAGGCTTGCCAATAATTGGGATTGTATCGTAAAAAAATCGGGAATCAATAACGTCGTAAGTTGTGAAAAGCTTTTCAGATCCACCATCGCTCGTGTATCCGGCCAGCTATCTGACAAATCCAACTCTCTTAACTTTGGCAAAAGGTTGTTCAGCACTGTAAGAGTTGAGACTCGATGCAGTTTTACGTGAACAACTTCGGATCCTATGTATTTGAAAATCCTTGATAAAAATTGGCATTCAACGCTATTGAACTCGCTCCATGGGTTAGATACTTCAACCTTCTTACATTTAAATTGCGTGGACTCTAGAGCATCGCAAATCTTCTTCAGATTTCGCTTGGTAATGACCAATTTCGAACCGCGTTGTAGTTTATATCTGTTAACCAGTTGAAGCCATCGTTTGCATACTAAAGTAATCTGCAATAAGTCGCCATGCGATAAATTATCGAAAACTTGCAGCCATATTTCATTGGGTAAGCTATCTGCTCCGATAGGACTAACAGCAGCATCCGTGTCTGGCGAAAGATCCATTATATCCTAAAATAAATAAACAACATATACGCATAAAGTCCGAAGGAAGTAAGATAGTTTTCCAAATATATATTAGAGAGATTTTACAAATTTTACCTAAGGTGCGCTTAAAAAAAGAAGCACTTTACACTTATTAATTAATGTCTGAATATCTAAAAGCGCATATGTCGTCACTATTTTCGTATTACTGCTTTTGCTCTCGCTTTCTATTAATTATGTAGGAATTATGTAGGAGTCACGCGCGCATTACGTTCTGGATTCGTATGCATAGAAAGGCATATAACTTGCTATGCACTTCTTATTCTTCTTCTTTCTCTTTACTTTATACAATATAGGCGAAAAAAGTGATTAATTTCGATTTAATGCAGACCTTCTTGTCTATCGAATTCCTTTAGTCGTTTACGCGACAAAGACAATAAGACACCTTACGGTTTTCTTCATTATATTTTACTTAGTCTTATTTAGATATGGTTTATATGTATCCCGTTAGCAATCAGTAAAAATTACCGTAGGCTCTAGAATTTTCCTCTTCTTTCTTTTTAAACGCGGACTAGCAATGAAGCTTGAAAAACTTTTTTTTGCAAGAAAGCGGCTTAAGGCAATGCAAAGACTACGCGAGTAGTTATTTATGAAACACTTTAAATGCATTTCGATTCCATATGTAGTTATAACTCGCTAGCACTGAGCACATATTGAGGCTTTCTCTATATAATACTGTTATTTCATATTTTGTGCGTTCACTTCATATTTTCTACCTGGAGCCTAATTTCGTTGTTCTTCTTTCCTTTTCTTTGTAGGATGAATTCTTATCAAGTAGAGCGTGAACAGAATGAACGCATTTGTCAGCATGCTGTACTTACAATAATTCTAAGCATTATACAAATACAAGGCATAACTTGCATAATCACATGATTAGAATTTGCTTACATAAGCACTAATAAAACCGAAGCCTTTTTCCAAAACGAAGTATGTTTGTACTAAAACTATATTTCAGCATTTAATATTATATATGTATAGTATTTATAATTAATGACAGCATTTTAGGTCGTCGTATCACGCGCTGCTTAAAATGTTAACAGTATGTTTGTTGTTGTTCACATAAAATTACTTGCCTTGCTTGTCAGTTCAAATGTATGGAGCGAAATTGAAAGTTTTGCCCTCTACTAGGTTTGTTGCAGCGATGCAATGTAAGCTATATGTGCAATTACATGTAAACACGTGTAACCAAGTCATATATTCACGATGCAAATGAATTTCTTCTGTTCCCGAAGTTCTTAGTGCTAAGCAAAACCTTAAAAAAACTTCATTCCCTTTCGTTTTATGATATATTTCACGAAAACGTTTGTCACAATCTTTACTAGAGTTTGCGTAAAGGTGACGGTCTTTTGTTTACAAAGTAAGTACACTAGATACGTCCTCGCATACGTAATCTGTCACGTCTGCACAGTTAACGCCCAGAACCGAACACTCCAAGTCATGACATCCTAAAGTTCTTTGCGCCGTATTAACCCATTAGCCATGAAATCCTGAATAAATACCTCCGACCTCCGTATTTCTCGTTACAGATGAAAATATTTTCAGTTTCTTTCGAGATTATTTCAGTTTCTTGTCTGGTGTCAGCGTATGTATGCTGGCAGATGACAGCCGTTTTTTAATCTTGAACTTTTAGTCGAGCAATACCAATATCATATGTCACGCATTTTTGAACCGATCTGTACAATGCTCATTGCCTACACTTGTGCAACCAAGTTAAAATAATCCCATCATTAATCAACTATGCTATCTAACGGAGTAATTTTCTTGCAATGTTAGGCGTTCTTTCAAAGTTTCAGGTATAGACAACTTTGACATTGATGTCATTTACGACACTATATTTGATTTCGTTTTAGACCGACAAAAATGCTACTGAAGCTACGTAAACGATCAAAGTTATTTACTTTTTACAGCGGTCACGACATAAAACTTAGACTTGGTTATACCTGACACGAAAGTAATATGTCTTTGTTCGTTGCGTCCTTTGGTTCTATACTTATTGCACGAGTCGCTATGCGTTTTTAAAGAGACGCACTTTACTTTTTTGCTGTATTCCTTGACATGTACAAGAAATTTGTTTTTCTTTTTTTGTTTCTTTTTTTTCTCGAAACTATAATAACATGATTACGAACTATTCAGTTTTTAAGGAAAGTTTAAACAATTTACCTAAAAAATATAACTTCTTACCCGGAATTGGAAGGTTTGCACAATTTTCAGAAACATTATGGTGTAGGAGAAGCACTTGTAAAACAACTTTCAAATGGTTTTGTGTAACTTTCTAAGTGCAAATCAAATGTTTGAAGTGAACAAATCTATATAAGAGCTTTAAAAATTATATAAAGTTAGGGAAGAGAAGAGACGTCAAATATTTGTCAAGTAAACTTAATATTTTCGCATATTAAAAAGAATTAAATTACATTTACAGATAATTAGAAGTTGTGGAGATTGACCCCATCCCGCCCTGCGCTGTTATTTTCTTCTAGGTTGATAGCCTTTACCGTAAGACCATTTTATATGCTTGGTATTAAATAGGATATGACACTGGGATGGAGTATACTCGAAAGAGTGTGCAAAGACGATCATCCTACGCGGAGTTACTCAGACGAATTTGCATTCACTTCTTCAAAGTGACGACTTCTTCCGAAGTCTGTTTCCTTTTCTGTCTTGCATTCGTCTATATGTGTTTTCTCCGATCCATCGCGGTCTAGCCGAAGAAAAGAACCCACCAATCTTTGACTAATAAAAACGAGTAAATAAGAAAGAAAATGGATTCAATTCCTATTGGGTTACTTAACACCACTGTGGCGATCAAAAAAGAACAGATAAAACAAGAATGGCCAAGTGTGGACATGTATACGAAGATTGGGAAAACTAATTAAATTGTTTGAAACCACTGATTGGTTGGCAATATCGAAGGGAGGTCACTTCGTCACGCGGTCTTCTTGTAAATAACTTTTGGAACACCGTCCAGTGATCTTTATCATGACACATCAGTTTGTGGAAATTTATATGTAGTTTATGAGCAACGAGTAAAGGACACGAAGGCAAACATGTTCTCAGTTTGATTGCAAACAGGTGTGGGCGCAGTTAGCCTGCTCTTTGACCTGCTTCGATCGTTTTCAAATTATTCTGCAAAGTTGTTGGTGCTATATTATTCTTCGCGGACGGGGGTATGTGTACCACAAATGCGACAAAGAAGGGGCCGATGCATAAACGGACATGTTCAATTTCACAAACGTAGTCGACTTTTCCCATTTTTTACACGTACGAAGGCATTGTCCATATAATACATGTGCAAATTGCTGTACGTTATCAATTGTTTTGTTCCATTTGAAAAACAGACGAGTTCCTAGTGTACGTAGTATTGTAGGCGTGATCTTTGAGATATTTGACCCATTCTTAGTTAAGACCTGTATAAAAAAGCTTCCAAACGAACATGTTTAAATCGATTTAGAACTTGATGGTGATCAAATATATATATATATATACTTTCTGGGGTCAGTGAAATTTCCACCCGAGCGTTGCAAACGTGTCGACAAAATCATTTTTCGGTGATGGATGTGATAACAGGAAATACTTTGCACTACCATTCTTTTGCGCGCATTTTTTCTTTTTAATCCTTACGACATTTCAAATTGTAGTATTGTTATTTTATAGATACCTACCTTTACACTTGCACACAATTCATTTGCTTTCGCAATGTAAACGTAGCAAATTTTCCTCGTTTCAATATTCATTAGCATCGAGGGTAATGCTATAATCATGTTTGAAAGTATTGGCTGTGGCGGTAGGGAATAGCAGAGCATAACCTAGAATTTTGTTAGCCTGATTATCGCTTTTACAACCCCAGCGAGACAATTGTACAATTGGCTTCATGTTGGCATATGTAGCAAGTGTTATTAAGTAAATGTTTGATATTTGCGATGGGTTAACACAATACGTTGTTAATAAAACGGTTTGGCAGCTCATCATCAAGAATACTCATTTGTGCAAAACATAACTGAAAAATAAGTTGAAAGCATAACTTGTAAGGAAGGAAAGTGACTCAAAAAATCCTTTCAAAACCATTTAAACTTCTTGGGCCACCACATATAACAAGGCTTAGTTCAAATATTCTTCAGTTTCTAGCTCTCAGAGTTTTATTATGTGTTACTTTATTGAAGGCCAATCTGCCTCGAAATCATATTAAGCTAGTAGACGCAACAAAGTCATAGTGACAAACCGTGGTTCCCATGCGTGATTTTTTATTTGGTGGAGTACATTTTCCAAGCAATGTATGAGCGCTAGGCACTGGCAAAACGTACAGCATTTACACAAAGAAGACATTCAACAATGAATTGATGAACATACTGTAGCCCGAAAATCGAAAATCACCTAATTTTGTAGTCAATATTTCAAAGGGAATATATTACCGAAATGAAATTAAATTGCGCAGTATATACTCTACTAAAATCTATAAAAATATAACCAAAGAAAAATGCCAATAACATAAAACCGTGTTCAGCTATTGACCAAACAAGTTCCCCATCATAAACATCTTCTGCATAAAGAAAAAGAATATAGTATAACTTACTATTAGTTAAGTGATTTCCAAAAACTCATCAATTCTGTGAGATTGCTACCGGAAGCTTCGTCCTCGATGAAATTTTTATATTCGTTTTTGATAGTTGTATGGATACAATTGCTACCGACATATTTGTACGCCTACCATAGGCGTTCGCGTACGGTAATTCTTCAAAACATAGAACAGTGCTTTACGGCTATTTTAACGGTTTTGGGAAAATAAAAAGCGTCACGCACCACGCATGCTATGCTGGTTTCTTTTTCCTACCACGCGAACGGTGTATATTTCGCAATAAAGTTTTTCTCACACACTTGAAAATCGGTAAATTGACCACAGAAGTTGTGTCCATATGTTTTGTGCAAAGACAAGCTACATTTTATCGCTTGTGCTTGTTTTACTATCGAAATATACCCCGTTACGAACGCCAGACTTTGGGTGCAATGACAAAAGCGTTTAACTCGCCAACTATGGCCGATCGCTTATTCAGAGAACTTTTTGCAAACTTAAGTTCTAGGTATAGCGGTAGTTGTGCCAAAATATTGCAAAAACCTTAGATAGCATGTTAATCGTGTGACATCAAGTGGTTATAACTTGATCTTCTATCGATCGCGAAAACCGATTTTGTTCCAGTTACTTTAAATGTGGCATCGCATAAATGCTAAAATGTCTTGATCGCAAGGAGACCTTGTTAAAGAATATATGCAGAGGGATAAACGCTAGAATGATATGGTTACGTATCTACATGTTAAGTACACACAAAGAATCAAACCTTTGGTCGCCATAGCTTATTTTATCTTTTGTAGGCAGCAGAGTTCTATATCACATTTTAAACTAAACATTAGAATTTGAAGAACTTTGACTTGCTCCGCAGCAGTCGATCATGACGGGCCATAAATTGTTATTATAGCTCAGATGGGCGATCCTCTTTGACATTGCAACTCCGGGGTGAAATTTGGCAAACCATCTCTCGCCTGTCCGAACATTTACAATTTCACTTTGTAATGCATCTCATAAGATTT